TTATTTTTAATTTAAAATATAGAAGCCTTTAAGGATCTGCCTTAATCTCTAATAACTGCAAAGTATTTCATAATATAGGTATAACATGGAGGCTGTCAAAAACTATGAAAAGTCTGACATACTTGCCCATTGCAAAGCTAATGAGTTGAAATGATACAGTTTCATGGATGCTGGTAAAAGATACAAAACTCCTGGGTCAGAGATGAAGGACAGTTTATTACTCACATCTACAGCAATAGCCAGGGTATCAGCATTTTGGCACTAGTTTTTCCAAGCCCCAATTCCCATGGGACAATTGAAAGAGGACAAAACTTAGACCTGTATATGCAGTGGGTTTTATTACAGGAGAGGAGCCCTGATCTTAGGGAACCTGAGGGTTTTTAAAAATTTTTTATTTTTCTTTTCCCCAGTAATGAGTAATATAGTATTTGGGGCCAGGCAGGAGACAGAAACCACACAATTATTTGAACAGGGAAAGTTTTAATATAAATAATTATGAACAGAGAATTGAAGTCATGGGAAATTAGCTAGTGAGAGTTAAAAAAATAATTCTAACGAATAAAGGAATAGCAGAAATATAAAGAAAGACTGCTACACTAGGGCTGAGATAAGTATCCAAGGTAGAACCTTCCTTCCTCCTGGCTGAGATCTGGGTTGCTGGAAAGGGTTTCATTTCTTATGCTAAAAATTAGCTGTTCCTAGGTCCATTTTTAAAATTGGGTTCATGGACTTTACATTATTATAAAAATTTATCTGCCATGTGAATTTCAAATGTCTTTGTCCCAATCTCTTGTTTATCTTTTGACTCGACAGAATTATTTTTTCATTTGGAAGCATACCTGGCAGAATTCTCCATTAGGCCAGCTTCTGGACTGCGTCTCCTGCCTTACTGAGAAGCCCTCTGCCCATGAGTCCTTTGGACAATGACAGGAGCGGCCACACCCACAGAGGGGTCATCCCCGCCACCCGCCCTTGGATTTGAACTGGTGGTCTGCATGGCTGTCTCCTCCACAGGAAGAAGGCAGAGGCTGTGTTTTATTCACCTTATCACTACCACTGCTCATAGCACCTCAGTGGCTTTCAACAAAATGAGTTTGCATTTGTTGACTTGTGATCTTGCCCAATCCCTTCATTTTTCAGGAGATTGAGGTCCAGATGAAAAGTTAAGTAAGGCTAGAGTCACAGGCAGAATGACCAATTTCTTAACATCTCAGCTCCAAATTCACCCTTCAGAACCCGCTCTGACGTAATGGCTGGACCCTGTGAGCGTCTCTCTTTTTCAGAGCAATGTTAAGCTTTGCCAATAGAGGGTACTGGAGGGACGTGGCAGGAGGCAGGGGCTCCTCCTGGTTCCAGGGTGCAGTGTTGTGTTTCTGCTGTGTGTGTTTGCTGCTGCTGCATGGTCTGTTCAGGGATGCTCTGCCCTTGCTATGTACCTAGAGTCCCTTGGTGACCTTGCATCCTTGGCCTGGACCTAATGACATTGCTGCCACCCTCTGCACACATACACTGTGTTTCTCCCCATGCCAGGCCCCAATTTTCTCTGTGCCTTTACCCACTGGCCTCAGCACCCCAGTGCACTGGAGGGCTGTCCTGTGCCTGCCAGGTGACTGTGGTCCAGCGTTGGCTTGGGCAAAATAGCAAACTTTTCAGTCACCCAGTGGGCTGCCACCACACCCTCTCCATCAAGGTTTGAACCCATTGTTGGGGTTGGCCACCCCTTCCAAATTTGTCCTTCCTTTGTTATGCTCCATCAACCCCAGAGTTCTCTTTGCATTTTTATAGCTACTCTTCTCTTACAGCTTACTCATTCTTCCATTAAACTTCTCTTGCTTAAATTACCCTGTGATTTCTGTCTCTTGATTGGACCCAGTGTAATAGATTGTTCAATGGATTCAAATGATTTGAGTCCTAGGTCTCCCATTCACCAACTGTGTGATCTTTGCAGAGTCACTTAGGCTTGGCGAGCCTCTGTTTCTTCCTCCTTCACGTGTTCTGCCTTTGAGACTTGCATTGAGAATATACCTCATGTCCTTCATTAAGTGACTAATTTGTTGCAATGGCCTCTACTGGCTTCCCAGAGCCAATGTCTCCTTCTCCATTCCACCCTACACACTGCCTCCAGCTCAACGTCCCTATAGCTATAGCCTTGTCACCACACTGCTTCTGTTCTCTCTCCCCTCCCCTCCCCTCCTTTTCCCTCCCCTTCTCTTCCCTCCTTTTTTTCCTTTTACCCTCTCTTTTTAATTTTTTGTTTCCTTCCAGCAAATGTTTGATGGTACCTCACGCCACACAGCAAAATGGAAATGCGTGAATCCGTGCCTATTTGATCTGGTGTGGTGTTAAGGAAACTAGTGGTACTCACGCTTGTCACAGTTGGGGCCAGTGTATGCAGAGTAGCACTCACAGGTTCCATCACCATCTACTCCACTGTTGCACACCCCATGCACACAGTTGCACACTGCAGACAGGAAGTGGGGGATTTTCATTACTTGATATAGATTGCATCTAAAGATTCTAGAAGAATAATATTTTCGGATAGTCTTCACTGGGAAATCTGCATGATGAGGTGGAGAAAACCGTGGGTTTGAAGTCCTAGAGACACTACTTTGAATCTGGCTTCATCTTCCTTTTATTAGCATCAGTTTTTTTAAAAAAAATGTATGTAATGTGGATAATGATGCCTAACTCTGAGGATTTCTATAGAGTTACATGAGATAATGTATATAAAGCATAACTGGCATATCACAGGCATTAGAGTTTTTTTTTTTTTTACTACTTTCAAACTATTTACTTCTTCTTTGGATACCTCAACAAGAGAATTAACTTAGTGTCTTATATACACCTGTTATGTTTAAGAAACAAAAGCTACCACTAACTCAATCACTGTTGATAACAGACATTTATGCAAATGAATCCTACTTCCTGAATGATGGGGCAATATAAGGATAAAAAAGAAATTCAGAAAGGCCCAGAATAATTATGCCATGTTTTCTAGCTTGAAATGGATGAATTTTCAGCCCAGCAACAAATCATTTCAGGGATGACAAATGAAAGGCATTTGAAATAAATGGTCAACTCTTTAGCGCCCAGTTTGTGTCTCATTTGTAGCAAGATTTATTGTCAGGCTGGGCCACTAGCATCCTATGGGCACTCTCTGTGAAGCACGTTGTATGAGTTTTCTATCGCTGCTGTCACAAAGTACCACAAACTAAAAAAAAAAAAAAAACACACACACACAAAAAAACCAAAGTACCACAAACTTAGTGGCTTGCCACAACACAGATTTATCTTATAGTTTTGGAGGTCAGAAGTCAGAAATGTGTCTCACTGAGCTAAAAAAAAATCAAGGTTTCAACAGTGCTGCATTTCTTCTGGAGACTCCAGGGGAGAATCTTTTCTGTTGTCTTTTCCACCTTCTAGACCCCATCTGTATTCCTGGGCTTATAACCACTTTCTCTGTCTTCAAGGCTGATAATGCCAGGGCAAGTTCTTCCCATGCTACCATCTCTATCGGCTCTTTCTTCTGCCTTCCTCTTCCACTTATAACAACCGTTGTAACTGCACTGGGCCCACCTGGATAATCCAGGACAATCTCCCTATCTTAAATCGGTTGATTAGCAACCTTAATACCATCGGCAACCTTAATTCCCCTTTGTCATGAAAGCTAACAAATTCACAGGTTCCAGGGACTAGGACATGGACACCTTTGGCAGCCATTATTGCTCCTACCATACACGTGGTCAATGCATGTAAGCCAATTTAACAGTAGCTAAAGTGAAACATAATTAAGAAGATATACCTGTTTAAACATTTAACCAAAAATACCAGAAAAGCAAGGATTAGTCAAGTTTCAAGTGTTCCAACCATCTGATAATCAGTCAAGTCCTTTGCATTCTCTATGCCTCCCAACTTGTTCTTCTGTTCTTTGTCCCCACTGGTACCATCCTTATTCATGTTATCATGTTTTACCTGGATTATTGCAGTAGCATTTTCCCTAGCCTAGCTGGCTCCAATTTCCCACCTTCCATTCCATTCATTTCATTTTATTAGCAATGGCATCAGGTGATCTGCCCCCAAATATCTCAACAACTCTCAGTTGCCAACCAAATGAAATCTAAATTCCTCAGTTTGGCAAACAAGGATCTCTCTAACTGACTGCAGCCTTGATAATTTTTCATTTTCATCTTTCACCACTTTATTTTATACATCCTAGATTTCCAGCATGTGGATTGACTCTGGCTCACCATTTCCTTTCCTTCCTTCAAACCACTTACTGAACACCTACCATGTTCATGGCACTGTGCCGGAGACTAATGGGCCCAAAGAGAAACAGGACAAAGTCCCTGCCCTCCAAGAGCTCACGTTCTAATGGCAGGAGAAAACAGCCAATCACAGTGCAGTGGGATAACTCTACGACATGACGGACCAATGGGAGTTGACCAGGAAGAGATGGGTTGGGGCCGGCCTAGGAAGACGGCATAGGTGGAAGTCGCCGGAGAGGCATCTTGCACTTTCACGCCTCCGTGCTTTTGCCTCTGCTGTGCTCCCTTTCGTGTGTCACTTGAAATCCTCCTCCTCCTTCAAGGCCAGCCAAAGCCCCTACTTCTGTAGTACCACTCAGTGATCCCCAGGCAGAATGTGCGCTCCTCTGGGCTCCAGCAAAACTTTCTTTATACCTTGCCCACTGTCGCATCCCCCTGCAACTATCAATTTTGTCCATGGCTGACAGCCAGCGACCACCAGGAGCACACCAATGGTTACAAAGTCAGCAGCAAGGGTGAGCCGTCATGGGAGAAGAGGCACTCATGTCAGCCTGGAGAGGCAGCTGTTGGGTAATTTTTGCGGTTATCCATTGTTGTTTATTCTCTGTTCAGACATAATTACGCAATGGCCTAGTTTTTGTTGTGTTCCACCATGGCTATAGCCAGTGTTTGTCTAATGGTGATATTCCATGAAATTCTTTATGCTCAGCAGGGGACTCCAGAGCCTGCTGGCAGCAACTAGGCCAGTGACCAGCTGACAGATGTCAGGGCTACTTTTTTCTTTCTCAGTCTGGGCATTTTTCTCCCCTGTTAGATTGGAACCCCTTGGAAGGCCTTCCTCCCACCTTATATTTCCCAGACCATCTTTTACAGAGCCTTAGAACAAGATCAGCAACCACACGGCTAACTTTTAGAAAAAGACAGCATCTGGCAGGGCTGAGATTAGGGTGAGGAGAGTAAGGCAGGGGAGTGCAAGTGCAGAATTGAATCTTGTCTTTATTTTCATGTTTCGTTCAGTATTTTAAAGGTATTATTGTTACGGGTTGAGCTTTGTCCCCCAAAAGAATAAGTTGGAGTCCTGGCTGGGTGCGGTGGCTCACGCATGTAATGCTAGCATTCTGAGAGGCTGAAGTGGGAGGGTTGCTTGAGCTCAGGAGTTTAAGACCAGCCTAAGCAAGAGTGAGACCCTGTTTCTACTAAAAATAGAAAAAATTAGTCAGGCATGGTGGTGCGTGCCTGTAGTCCCAGCTACTTGGAAGGCTGAGGCAGGAGGATTGCTTGAGCCCAGGAGTCGGAGGTTGCAGTGAGCTATGATGATGTCACTGCACTCTAGCCTGGGTGACAGAGAAAGACCCTGTCTCAAAAAAATAAATAAAATAAAAAATATAAAAAAGAATATATTGGCGTCCTCATCCCCAGTACCTCAGTATGTCCCTATTTGGAAACAGGGCCATTGCAGAGGTAATTAGTTGAGATGAGGTCATACTGGAATAGGCTAAGCCCTTAATCCAATATGACTAGTGTCCCAATACGAAGGGGAGAAGATGCAGACATATAAGGGGAAGAAGCCACGTGAAGATGGAGGCAGAGATTAGAGTGATGATGCCACAGCTAGGGAACATCTGGAGCTACCACAGCTGGAAGAGGCAAGGAAGGATCCTCTCTCTTATAGAAGCTTTGAAAGGAGCATGGCCCTGCCAACACCTTGATTCTTGACTTCTAGCTTCCAGAACTGAGACAATAAGTTCCTGTTGTTTTCAGCCTCCCAGTTTGTAGTACTCCGTCACAACAGCCCTAGGACACTAATACAGTTATTTTTCTGGATTACTCAGTTTTTTGATGCCTCCTTAAATTTTGCACTTGAGGCCCTACACTTGCCTTTATTGAGCGCTTACTATCTATCAGGCATTTTGCCAAGTGCTTTGCATGCATGATCTAATTTAATGCTCACCACACCCTTTGAGGCAGGTATCATTATTATTTCCATGTCATATATGAAAAATGTGATAGGAGGTGACTCACTCGGGTACTCACTGGAATAACTGAAGAATTACATTGGCTTTGCAAGTGTCATTCCCTCTTCAAAAATTCAATTGCCATGTTTCTACTTTAGCAAAGCTCTTTGATGTTCACCTATGGCTGTAGCTTTTGGGGACAGACAAGTTCTGGAGAGAAGTCAAGTGAGTCATAGAGATAACAGGGGTGAGGAGAGGGGTGCCTTATGGGCTTAAAGGAGAATATTCAATCCAACTTAGATAAAAAATATTTACTCAGCTGCTACCTAGTAGCAGGCACTGTACTAGGCACTAGGTATACAGATATGAGTAACTGGCAATATCTCAATTCAAGGAGCTCACAGCGCAGTGGGAAGGCAGGCTCTAAGAGGTACAGTGACCATTCTTGTCCTAAGTGCCATCATGCAGCCGGTGGAGGAGGGGGAGGGGCACACCAGGGGAGGTGAATGGGAACTCAGTCTCTGCTCCTGATGCATATGCTAACAGCAAGTGTCATCCTTGTCTGTAAGATTCCCACCTCCTGGCATGAGCCTCTCCCTGCGTCCTGTCTTCCTCTGTATTGGATTAACTGACCTGGAACAGGCAGCTTTTGGAAGCCTCTGATATCACATTGCTGGGCTGCCAGCCACTGCCAAGAACGTGTCCTTGGGGAGGACGAGTGGCAGAGGGTTTCCCAGATGGTCATAAAAAGAGCTCTTGGTGCTTTGTGAACCAGCCTCAGCAAAGCTTTAGAGACATGTGAAATGTGGGCAGTGTGACTTTAAAGTGGTCAAAGCCATGGCCATTCTGGTCAGAGGGGCAGTGCATGCAGCCCCCTGTAACGTGCCCCTTGGCAGAGTGAGCTGCTCCCCCGCCTGTGTTTCCATCATCTGTGTGGGCTGCGCACACTGTATCACAGTTGTCTCCCGTATCTCCAGGTTCTTGGGGCTGGGAACCTAATCCCATCTGTCTTAGGATCCCCATCACCTGTCTGGGGTATAATGCATGGTGGATGCTCACCAGGAGCAGAAGGGTGCAGTGCTTGGGGGCCCAGGCTCTGGAGTCAGACACCTGGGGTCATAACCTGTCTCTGCCCCCATAATAGTTGTGTGGCCTTGAGTGACCTCCCGCTTCTTCATCCATAAAGTAAGAACCGTCCCTCTTGAAGAGTTGTGTGAGGATCCAAAGGAGCCTCTTCTTACACTTCCTGGTACACAGGAGGCACTCAGCAAATGCTAGCTATCCTTATTAACCATGCAAGGTGTGGGATTGATTTGCAATCGCCCTAGCTGGGAGTGAGGCACTGAACAGGCTAGGGCATTGGCAGCAGAGATGAAAACCTTTGGCTGGTGCAGCTTGACATTATCTCTAAACCAATAAGCAATCTGGTAGGAGAGTGTTCCGGCAGCAGTTCCAGCCAGCGTTAAAAATAAACTGCACCTAATAGAGCTGTCCTACTTACAGGCGGAATTGTCACCTCCCTGGACAACACCTCATTGAATGAAACAACACTGGCACCCAGTGGACGCCTGGCTGAAAATATTTGGAAGTTCCTCTTGTCCTCATCAGTGGGAAGTGAGCATCTCTGAGTCTTTCATTCATCCATTCATTCACTCATCGGTGACTTGCTTACTGGTGGATTGTTTTTGTTCTTGCTTAATGCTTACTTTCATTGCTTGAGTGCTTGAGCTAAGAGCTTTGCTATATTGTCAACCCCATGAGGCAGGTATTATTATTCCTGCTTTATAGATGAGGAAGGCTTAGGGAGGTTAAATAGCCTGCCCTTGAAGAAACACCTATGATTAGGGGACACTAAGGAAATAATAGATGATAATACTAATTGCTAACATTTATTTTGCATTGATGAATTCATTAAATCCTCCTTAAAGAAGGCAATATTATTTTTATTTTTACAGATGAAGACAAAAACGGAGAGTATGCTTCATTAAGTTACCTAGGTTCCTACAATTAGCAGCCCTGGGGCTAAAAACCCAGCCTGAGTCTAAAGCCTGGGTTCTAAAACCATGCTTCTGGGTCAGGACAGCATTGCCTGAGTGAATTAGATCATTGATTCATCCATTCATACACTCTCTCACTCATTTGTTCATCCAACAAAAGTGTGGGTGAGTGCCTATCATGCAGGCAGTGTACACAAGGTACCAGAGAGAAAGATACAACAGCTCCAGCCTTCAAAGACCCTGTGGATTAGAACAAGGCAATGCCCCTACTATTGCAGATGAAATCTAAGTATGCAGACTTATGGGGCTGTGTTGTGTATGTGTGTGTGCACTGGCTTTCTTGCAAAAAACATCTGAATCAAAGCAATATGTACTGAATTTAATTTTTCCATAAAAGCTAGAACCAAAGTGGTGTTCGAGAAAGGCACCCAGTATGTTCCTTTTTTGGGAGACGTGGATCTGGCCAACATGGTTCCTATCACAACCACATTCTTTAGGCCTCGAGCATTGCAAACATTCCAGCTGAATCTCCACATCCACAGCTCTTTGCCTGAGGGTTTGATGTGAGCCTTAGGAGCCTGCTCTGCCCGCGTGCTCACTGGGCACTGGAAGTGCCAGGGAAGGAACAACTCTCCCCCAGGACTTCGTGTATTCATTTCCTATCACTGCTAGAACACCGGGCACAAACTTAGTGTCATAAAACAACACAAATTTATTGTCTTACATTTCCAGAGGTTAGAAATCCAAAGTCACTGTGCTAAAATCAAGGTGTTGGCAGAGTTGGGCTCCTTTTTGGAGGCTCTGCAGAACAATCTGTGTCCTTGCCTTTTCCAGCCTCTAGAAGCTGCCCACATGCCTTGGTTCATGGCCCCTTCCTTCTTCAAAACCAGCAAGGGCTGGTGGAGTCTTTCCCAAACGTCATCACTCTGTCTCTACTCACCTCTTCCACATTTAAGGACCCTGTGATTACATTGAGCCCACTCAGATATTCCAGGATAATCTCTTATTTTAAGGTCAGCTAATTAGCAACCTTAATTCTATCTGCTAGCTTAATTCTCCTCAGCCATGTAAGGTAACATACTCCCAGGTCCCAGGGATTTGGATGTGGACATCTTTGGGGAGACATTATGCTGCACCACATGTGGCTGCCTGTCCCCTTGGCAAGATGACTCTGAGATGTGTGTTCTACATCAACTCCCAGAGCTCCCCAGGGTGTCTGCAGTGGTACCTGGCTGGATAACACACCCTTTGTTTCCCCCTTGCCACTTCCCCACACCCTAGTGTTTCCCGGGATCACCATCCAAATAAACCACTGAACTCCAATGCCTGTCTCAGGGTCGACTTCTGGGGGCAACCAAAAATAAGAGAGGTTTGTTTGTTCAGGTTTGGACCACCAATCTCAGACCAATCTCTGACCACCTCATGCAATTATTTCCCTTCCCCAAAGGAAGGGAACAATTATTTTTAGGTGGGACCTAGGGTAGAATTAGTCTCTACACTGAGACCAGGATCCAGGAAGACCCCAGAGAAAAGCTGGGTGGGCAAGGAATAGGCGCCTGTTGGATCCTGGAGTCCGGGGAGAGGGAATTGTAAGGATGCCAGAAAGCATCACTGCTGAGTAGCTGACTGCAAGTGCTGGGAACCACAGGAAACACTGTCTCTCTTTTCAATGATGGCATTGCATCAGATTTGTTGTCAGCTTTTTGTTTTTGCTACGTAGACGCGATTATATAGAACCATTCGGTGTTTTCCCCCCAAGCAATAATCTCTCTGGGGACTTTCAACCCTTACAAATGCTCTCATTACACAAAAATCAGACATACCTGAGGAACAGCTGGATCCGAATAAGTTGTCGTCAGCACAGGTTTCACAGGCTGTTCCACCAAACCCTTCCTGCAAAACATTAGACCCAAGGTGACCCACGTTACCCAGGAAGCACTTGGATTTCTGACTGATGGTGTGGTCAGTGTTCATTTCTGAAATAAATCTTCCCTGTGTGCCTTTCCTAAAGCTCCTTCTTTCTGTTTTTCCTTTATTCTTTGCTTTTTTGTGTGTGTTATAATGCATACATTATTCCCTGTATCATTTTTTACTAAGGGTCTGATGCTCTGTAGAAGAAAGCTGCTTTGTCACCCAGGAGTGAAAGGAAAACTTTCAATTTTGCATTTCTGAAGACAGTTGAGCCCAGTCCCTTTCAGAAGGATTTCTTTTATTTAATTCTCCTAAGGCTTGAAACTCGCAAAAAGTCACTTTCCCTGGATAACAAAGAAAATCTTCAATTGGCATACCCAGTGGTTCGCAAAGGATGCTGAGGATAGCACCAAAGGGTAGTCTGCCAACAGCGATGATTATTAATAGCAACAATGACAATAGTTTCTATAGCTCTGTATAGTTTCACAAAGGATTTTCACATAGATGATCTCATTTTACTTTTTCAATAGATGTTGTTACATAGACACTGTTTCAAACCCATTTTTCAGGTGGACATGCTTAAGGCTGAGCAGTTACTTGACTCTCCTAAAGGTCCCTAGACTCTGAGAGATCATTTTGCTGCAAATTGAATACTTTACAAATTACTTTTCTTATTTTTATTTCTAGAGACAGGGTCTTTCTCTGTCTTCCAGGCTGGAGTGCAAGTGGCATAATCGTAGCTCACTGCAGCCTCCAACTCCTGGGCTCAAGCGATCCTCCTTGGGCTCAGCTTCCCAAGTAGCTGGGACTACAGGCACATGCCACCATGCTAATTTTTAAATTTTTTGTAGAGATGAGGTCTCATTATGTTGTCCAGACTGGTCTCAAACTTCTAGGCTCAAGTGATCCTCTTGCCTTGGCCTCCCAAAGTGCTGGGATTACAAGTGTCAGCCACTGTGTCCGGCCTGCATAATCTTTTTATTAATACCTCTATCTCTTAGAGGCTCCACCAGGTATGTGTGTTTCAGGAGGATCAACAAGTAAGAAGAAGGGGAGCAGAATCGGGGGCAGAGAGAATACATATCTGAACTTACTTGGCAGGAACAGGTTCCGTTTCCTTCCATGCCTTCAGCACAACTGCCCCTGCCGTTGCAGGGGGACCCCGCTCCTCCTGGGCACTCTAGGGAATCAAACAGCTCGGATTCATTCACTCATGACTGCACGCAAGCATGCTGCAAGGATGCATTTAAGCACCTATTATGAGCCAGTTAGCGTGCTAGTTGCCAGGGTAAGAAATAATTGCACAGCCTGTGGGTGTCATTTAGCATTTTGTAGGGAGGGAGACATGTAAACGGAGGAATCTTAGTGCGGTCACATGCTATAATAGAAGGCATCACACTGTCTACCATTTCTTGAACATTTGCCTATACACTTTAAAATGATCTAATCGAATCATTCCCATTCCTCAGTGGTAGTTACTGTTGGTGCTCATTAGCAGATGAAGTTTAGAGAGGTCACATAACTCATTCAAGCTCTCATAGTTTCTAAGTTGCAAAGCTGGGAATTTAGCTCAGCCCTTGGCATGACTCTAAAGCCATGCCTCTTTTTTTTTTTTTTTATTTCAGCATATTATGGGGGTACAGATGTTTAGGTTACGTATGTTGCCCTTGCCCCCCCTCGCCCCCTAAGTCCGAGCTTCAAATATGTCCATTCTTCGGGTGATGCGTAAAGCCATGCCTCTTAATCAGTGTGCCAGACAGCATATTGAAATAGTCCAGAGAAGGGAGCTACTGATGCTGCCTTAGGGAATCTGAGAGACATCAGAGGTGGAATCATCTAAGCTGGGGTTTTGAAGGCAGAGTAGGAGTTGGCCATGCTTAAAAGGGAAGGGCTTTTCAGGAAGAGGGAATAGCAAGTACAAGACTAAGAGTTATAAAAGGGCCTGGCCTGTTCTGGGAATGATAGAGTTTGGTGGGGTTGGGGCTTGGGAACTGGGGTGTGAGAGTGTGAGGGTGGGCAATGAGGTATAGTAGGGTGGTTGGGGCCAATTAATGAAGTCCTCGGCAAGGTAAGAAAAGGAATCTAGATTTCACTCGGAAGCTGATTCCAAACAAGCATGGATTTTGCACTTCTGGGCTGTGTTACACCCAAGTTGGAGCTTTTCTTGACATTTATTAGAGGATTTCGCAGTCATCCACTACACATTCAGAGAATACCTACTATGTGCCAAGCATTATATTTCATGTTGGGGCAGAGGGGCGTTGAGCTAAAAAGCCAGATGTCGCAATGCTCAAAATCAAATAGAGAATTTAAAATAGTGGTAAATGACAGAAGTTTAAGGTACTACTGTGATAGGGATGAAAAAAAATCTGTTTCTTTTTATATTTTCCATTGTTCTACACTTTGAGGGCTGAGTTGACATAGGTTTAATGAGAATTTGGGTGAAATTTGACTGTTGAAATAAGCGATCTGCAAGCACCAAGCAGAAATCACGTAGTGACCATGAAATGTGTTCAAGTAAAGGCAGCGGGACCAAATGTTATTCCAAATTTAAGTTAGCAAGCTAAGTGCCTTCCACAAAATTGCTAAAGAAGGCATGTATTTACTGCTCATAGCAATCCTCTGAATTTAAGTCCTATTTTTAGCCCCACTTCCTAGATGAGGAAACAAGCACAAAGGAACAAACATGGTGGAAGGGGTGAGGTAGCTCTCTGGGGCCTCTTTTCTAGGGGAACTAATCCATTCATAAGGGCTCCACTCTCATGACCTAATTACCCCTCAAAGGCCCCACCTCCTAATATCATCGCATTGGGGATAAGGTTCCAACATATGAATTTTGGGAGGACGCAAACATTCAGAACGTCACAGCAACTATTGGAAAAAGAGATCTGAGCACAGAGAGAGGCGGATCTCTGAAAGAGACCCTGGTGGCTCACTTGAGCTACTAGGCTAGCTCTTTAGAAGAACATTTGTAACTTGCAGGTGCTGCACGGGTGAGAGAGTCATGCTGTCCACCCGTAGATGGTCTTCTCTCTGGCTCCTTCCGTTTTTTCCCTGCATACTGAATATCAGCAAACTATATGGTCTAAATTGCCTACTTTGAATCTGTGGTCTCTTTCTTTCCACAGCAACGGCAGAGCCAGGCTCCTAACCCAGGCAGGGGCTCCCAAGTCCCTGATACCATTCACCGCGGTCCAACCTCATCAGGCAGCTCTGCAGCCCAGACAACACAGCACAGACAACAGACATGTCTGAGAGGCGAGGGAGGGAGAAAACATGCTGATGCATAGCTAATATTTATAAGTCACTTTGAAAAACAAGATGTTGATGAGGGCTGCTCTCACCGACTCGGCCAGTGGTTATGTGAGATGCTTATGGTGTCAGGGGAGGAGCCGGGACAGGCAATCAGAATGTCCTGAGTTTGAATCTCAGCTCAACCCTTTGCTTTTCCTTTGGGAAAGTCCATGCCTGGCTCTGAGATTCAGTTCAAGTGTATGCTGGGACAGTGCTGTCTTCTAGGCAGGTTTTTGTAGGGACTGGAAATATTAGGTGCTCAATAAATGGTAGTTGCTATTATTCAGAGCAGATCTTCTTCTTCTCTGGTTTTTATTCTTTCAGATTGGTGCTATAACAGTTAATGACACTCAGAAGATAACTTATTGGGCACCTGTTTGGACCAGACACCATGTAAGGTCCTGGGTATATATGGGTGAACACACAGACCTGGTTCCTACTTCCATGGTTCTACCAGTCTAGTGAGGAGAGAGTCGTGGATTCAACAGACAACCAACCAGGTAATACTGGTTTACAAACTGGGATAAGGGTTGTCATGGGAAGAGACCTAGAGCTCTCATCACTCCACTTACCGGATGTTACCAATATTTACCCAAAGCAACCTAATGCTGAATGGCCCAATTGGTTTAGATCTGGTCTCAACAGATGACAACAGCCAAATCATTAAAGAAGGGCCTTGTTAAAAATTATGGTGTTTGTTTAAAGAGCAGCAGGAGGTGAAGATGAAGAGGAGGGAGAGAGCTTCATCAGTTTAAACATTAAGATGTCGTTTCATTGTCTTCTAACTTACATCGTTTCTAACGAAAGATCTGTCATCATTGTTATCTTTGTTCCTCTTGACATAGTGTCTTTTCCTTTTGGCTGCTCCTAAGATTTTCTCTTTATCACTGATTGTAAAGAATTTTATTATGATGTACAGAAAAGATTAGTGAACTTAAAGACAGGCAATAGAAACTATACAAAATGAAATAGAGAGACCAGATATTTTGGGAAGCAGGAGAGAGTAATGAGTTAGAGCCAGGGCTTTGCAGTGGAACAGCCCTTGTTTGCTAGTCTGGCTCTGCACTTACTAGCTGGTTCTCTCTGGGCAAGCTGCAAAACTCCTCAAAGCCCCAATATCCTTACCTGGGCTCACAGGTACAATTGTTATTCCTCGCCTGCTTTTGTGTCCATCTCCCTCAGTACTGTGTGAGCCCCTTGGGAGTAGGGACCTGTCATATATGTGATTAGGAGCAGCACCTATCATGTATGTGATTATAGGCAGCATATAGTAGGCACTCAATGAATGCTTGATTTTTATGAGTTGGCCAACCCTGGAGGGAACTTTGGAAAAAGGGTAGCAGGACTATGGGGGTGTGGGAAGTCCTTATCTTATGGCCTAAATAAACTTTTAACAATTTATGAAAACTACTTGTTTGGTTTCTAAATAAAATTTTAAAAGCAAAAGTATAAATTTCTTTCCTGCTTCTCAAATTATTTTCTATCCCCTCAGGCCCCCATTAAGGAAAAAGATGATAAAATCGACATTCTCAGCAACCATGCTTGAAAGAAATATGGAATTTGCTACAAGGGCACATTTCTAATGCATCATGAGGCTCAAGCGGCTGATAAGACTGTTTTAGGTCATTATCACATTTCCCTTGGGTCACTACTACTCTGGTGGTCTCTTGTGTCCTGACTTTCCTCATGCAGGAGGTTTAACCATTATGAGCTGTCAGCAAATCATCAGCTGGTCTGTTTCTTTGAGGGAAGATAATAAACTTCCTGTCCAGCAAGAGGCCAAGGACTTCCCTGTAATTTTATCTGCCAAGAAACTCTAGAGGTGCCTATTCCACGTCATCACCTTTGTTTAAGAACTTGGTGCACAGTGCTAGGCAGAAAATATGTCCTGTATTCCATTTATAGCCCTGGTTGCAATTGTCTGCCTGGGAAATTGAAGTGAAATATATTCTTAATGTGAACTTGGCATCATTTGTCACTCAAAGCGACATGCCTGAAAGAATGGTTTCAACTGCGCATAGTCCATTATTTGCAACCTGGGCAGTGAGTGGCAAGGAGTATGTAGTGAGAAAGAAAAAGGGATCTGGAAATGCAAACAGCATGATACAAAAAAAAAAAAAAATGTGGATAATTTGATGACATTGACCTAAAAAAGAAAAATCAAGACCATTTCTCTTTGAAATAAGCAGATTGTTTTAGCCACAATTGAGTTTAGGTGTAACCCCTTTGCACACATTTGTTTTCCGTTACTTTGAGTTGTTGCACAGATCCATTAATGTTCATGGAAGAGTAAAAAGAACAGGGATGTTCAAATAAAAAAATCTATTTTATCTCAAATAGAATATTGGCTGCTCAAATGTGATTAAGTTTCAAAGTTAAAAATATGTTTTTGTGCTAATGAGAAAAGACCTCCATATGCACATTTGATAAAGCAGTTCAAATTTTAATTAGGGAGAAGCAGGTTAAATTTGGGTAGAAACACCTTCCTTATGTCAGGATGGCATTTTTTTTTCCTGAGTTCTCACTCATGTCTTATTCTTAATTTTAGAAGATGATGGTTTTTTTTTTCCCCATCATGCTTTCCTGCATTTTTCAAGTTTTCACCAACATAACCCAGAGGTATTGGGTGTGAATGTATTTTTCAATGCATTACAAAGGAAGTGGATGTTCCATTTGCTTTGGAAACAAGGCCATTCTAGAGCTTGGGAATGTGTTTCCTCCAAAAGAAGGGTGGACACATGTCAGCAGCTCTGCAGTGCCTTATCCTTGCGGAAATGTAACGTGGTAGTCAAGGTCTTGCTTGTCATCACCACAAAATGTGAGAGGTGAAACACACAGCTAAGTAGAGTATTTATCTTTTTCCTGAGCCAAAGGAAGGAAGCCTTTCAAGACATTTAGTGTTTGGAAGATGAGGATAAAAGGAAGTGCCCTTTTGACCCAGTGAAAGGACAGCAGAAATAATATCTAGGTCTCCATTTTTACATGTTTTGCTTCTCTGGCTTGGAGACCTCTTTGAAAGAAATGGCTGAGCAGTCAAAGAATTCTTTCTGATTCTTTTGATCGTAGATTTGAACCTTGTCAGCTTTGCGTACACATAGCACAGCGTGATGGCATGAAACCCGCTAAAGATTTTGGACACTCTTTGCCTGCTCACCTTTTAAGAGTTACCCACTGTTTAAAAGGGCTCAGAGAAAGTGTCATTTTATACGCCTTTCATTACCAGAGATTTAGTTCCACTGTGATTCACTCACTCATTGATTCATTAAAGGTTTATAAAGTGGCTTCTTTGTGTCATACACTTCGCTAAGTCTTTTCACCTAGATTAATGTTTTAAAGTATCTACTACAGTTTTATAAAGAAGGACTTTTTACCCCTGTTTGACAGATGAGGAGTCTGAGGAGTAAGCAGGAAGTTATTTGCCCAAACCGGTAAGGGACAGAACTAAGTTCACACCTGAAACTTCTGGTTGCAGGCCCTGTGTTCCTTTTCCCTCCTGGCTGTGGTCCATTACTCACTGTATTGGACATGCCGACTTTTGTACTGCATCTCGGACAAAGCTTTTATTTGTCTACAGTGTGTCTGACTAATAACTTAGCATCAGATTAGTTTTCATGAGTTAGGAAGAGGAAAGCAAATCTACAAGTTCTTTCTATTGTATCAGAATGTCTATAGGAACTGGACATGATCATGACCATATGTGGCCCTAAAACAATTCCTTGAAATCTGGAAATCTGGGTTAATCACTTTAAAAGACCCAGTATCTGGGTATTTTATTTAGATTTGCTAAACTCTCAGAAATACGCTGTGCCAACATGCTGGGATAAAACTGAACATAGAGCAGTTAACAGAGACGAGGGCCAGGATATTTTAAACCCCAAACCTTGATCTTTCCAGGGCAAGCAGTATAATCCAGGCATTTACTGGGAATGCTGAAAGGACCTACCAACCAAAAGAGACATTAGAAATACAGCTTGAGGCTCTCCTTTTGGATAAGTTTTGCTCCAGGCAGTTGGACAGAGTAGAAAGAAAGCAGGCCTTGGTGCCAGGCAGCCCTGAACTTGAACTTGCTTTATCACTTGCCAGTCCAAACTGGCAAGAGATGATTTTTAAATCTCTGACTCCTCATAGGAAAAATGGGGATAAAAATGTCTAAGTCAGAATTACATCAGATAATATAGGCTGAGGACCTCTCTGGTACCTAGTGTCAGCAACATTGAGTAAATGGAAGCTGTTATTGATTTAATCATTAGTTAAACAAACAGAAGACATTATACACACAATATGGGCTCAGCGATTTAGAAGCTGTAAGGAAAAAAGCATCAAGATTGAAATATGGTTTTCTTATGTCAACTATGTGTGACGTAAGTTGATACTTTTTCTTTCTTTATACTTTTCTAACCTTTACAAGCTATGTATAATTTGCTTATATTATTTTAATATGAATAAAAACAAAGCAAAAGAGAACTAATCTCTCTCCTTATGTGGATCCTAAGGAGATGTTTTCATTACATCTTAGAAGATGGGGAACAAATGGTAAATTCATGACTTAAAATGCCTGGTTTTTGACAACCAAAAAAAAAGAGAGA